TGCGACACAGAAACCGAAATATGAATCGATTGATTGTTAGCGAAAACACTCTAAAAGAGAGTTGGAGATCTTGTCAATACCTATCCGTCGATATAAAGACAGTCGAGAACGTATATCATATGAGAGAGTCATGATTTTTATACGAACTTTAACAATTTAAGGGGTTGTTTGATAGTTGCTGACTGAGTAAGATCTGACTGGGTCTGAAGTCTGACCGAATCTACATCTGACTGAAACCATGTTGTTTGATTATGGTTCTGACTGGCTGTGCTGACTGTTGAAAATGACAATTTTACCCTTATGTTCTATTTTTTAGTGGTATGGCAAAAGAACCAAAAACACACAAATACTAACAGATTTCTAATATTAGGGGGGCATATCAGAACTCCAATTGAGATGACAAAAACACATAAATACTAACAGATGTCTAATAGAGGAAATTGAAACTAACTGATCAAAGGAATGCAATCTTTTTGGTTTCTTGTCTAATTAGGCAACAAAATTATATTTTCAAAAGGCATACAATATCTTAATCCCAACTACCTAAAAAGAGACACCGTGGAACCCAAAATGATTTCAACCTGCACCTCATGGCTTTAACTTAATTCATAGATCAAGACGTTTAAAAGAAAGAAAACTCTAGAAACCACCACTTAGCTTGTTCGCTATTTGTTTGACTTCATCCATATACTTAATAATGGTTTTTTAATGCAATTCAATTAAAAGAACAAACATATGGTCTTTTAATGCAATTCAATTAAAAGAACATACTAATAGTTTTAATAATCTATAATCCAACTTGCTAGCCAACCATAAGAACTCGGAAACATAATCAAGAACAACCATTTTGAAACATGCTTAAATATCATATGGTAAAGGTTTAGAAGATATCTAACAATCAAGTAATTTGATATCCTTGCTATCCATACAACAAAATTACATAAATGAAACCCTCAAAACATATAAATACATTTGAAAGGAAAAATCTAAACCAAAAGAATAACCAGATGAGAAATTTTGTTGAAATCCTCTTGTATAGCTATCTGGACTTGCATACTCCACACACTATGTAAATACATCATAATCAAATCTCATCTCAACTCCATTCTTAATTTCATACATATAATCTGATATAAATGCATGGTCTGATTTCATATAGATACAAATCATATCATCAACCGAGTTTAGAAAAAAAAAACAAAACAAAAAAACAAAACAAAAAACAAAAAAAACCAAATGCGTACCTATTGTTGTGGAGGTTGACACTGCCAGAGGCCGAGAAGGCGTTGAAGTCGCCTGAGGAAGCTGATGATTTCAGGTTGTGTGGATAAGGAGTGGTGGAAAGGAAGAAGCGATGTCGGCTGTTAAGTAGAGGCGTACGTTTTTGTGTGTTTTCTTTTAGGACGCAAGGGCACAAAGGGAACGATGACTTTTATTTTTGGGTCAGAAACAATTTTCATTTGGACCAAGTCAGGAGATTAGTCAGCTATTATTGACTGAGTCAGCAAATTTGGGGCTCTACCAAACAACCTGACCGGACCGAGTCAGCCGAAACTTGCTGACCAGACCTGGTCAACTCATTATCAAACAACCCCTAAGCTTGTTAAAAATATAACTTTAAAAACAAAGTGGGAATTATTTGACGGAGTCTAAATAAAAGTTGTAGATATCACCGATAACTACTTGTGGATATAAAGAACGTCGAAAATGGATATCATATGAAGAAATTATGGAATTTAAAAATCTACATTTTGCACGGTGTGTGCTTCTAGAAGGGGTCCACGTCAAACCAGTATGAGCATGCCACGTGTTGTAAGGAGAGAGGCCGACTAGATCAAGTGCGCAACACACACCTAGTTGTTGCACGACGCACAAATTGAAATATCTTCTTATAAATAACAGGCAATCCCCATTTAGTTCTCTCATACCACCAGTGCAATTCCTATGGATTTCTTTTACAAAATCTCGATATTTCCTTAGGATTTAGGGTATTCCAGCTAGGCTCTGAAATAAGAGCCCGACAAATAGAAGCTCTCAAGTCGGAGTTTTGCCAGTGCAATTTCTGACTTTTCGCTAGAAATCTCTGTTAGTTAAGCTACACTTATTTTATTTCAAGTGTTACTTATATTTATAGTCATAGTTATTATTATCAATCTATAAATAAGATTTATCAGTGATTCCAAGTTGTTATACTGATTGATCTACTTATGGGAGTGAAGTCTAGGTTGGATTTAGTGATGTGTTTAAAGTGGGATTTTCAAACAGTATACTCTATATACCAAATGGTCCCTACCTCCGATATAATCCTACCTGGTTATTCCTTACTTGATAGATCTTGATGTAGACATTGAGATTAGTGAGGAATCTAGACTATTATTAGTTACCAGGAATATTAGACTAAAACTCAATATTAATTATACTTAGGTCACGTCAAAAGGAAAGCTAAGGTGTTAGGCAAAGCTCTGCCCAAATCACTAGTCAATCCACCTAAGACAAGTGAGTGCATAGTTACTTTCATCTTACACATAGATATGAAGTATTTACATAATTGAATGCTATATGTGCTTATGTGCAAAGATGTTCTGTGTTAGATGAAATGATATAAAGATAAAATTATATGATTTATACCGTATATGTATTTTTATGAATATAATACATTGGGTAATTAAAGGTAAATATGATAAGATGCCACAGTACGATGAAAGATGAAAATGATGATAGGATATCACGATTTTAATAGTACTATCGTACTAACAATGTAAGAACTAGTAATATTGTACTAATGATGTAGGAACTAGTACTATTGTATTAACGATGTAGGAACTAGTACTATTGTACTAACGATGTAGGAACTAATATTACTGTACTAACGATGTAGTCATCTAAATGTATATAGATGACAACTACGATAATTACAACGATGGTCCTTAAGGTAGATCTCTATAGATGAATAAAAAATATAATAAGAATGGGTATTCCGGTTAACGATTTGATAATTAAACATATTATTTATATTATTGTGAACTGAAAACTCTATGTACTCACCAGGTTTTCTAACCTGACCTATTCAGTTTCTTTGTATCACATGTATCAATATGAAGACAATTGATGTTTGGAAATGATGAGAGATTCAGGAAAATATAGGCCATTAGATGTTGTAAGGGTTATGGTTCTTGTATCAGTTATCACATCCAAAGTTTTTAATAATCGATGAAAATATCTCTTCGAAAATACTTTTACGGGACCAATTCTGCAAAATAAAGAATACTTACTTTTTTTAATAAGTATAAATAAATAAAAGGTCTTTTCTGACCGCGAAAAAATGGGAATGTCACAAAAACAATAACGAAGTCTTATAATTTACATGAATCAGAAATCATATTAACACGAATCAGAAAATCAGAAATCAAAATCAGTGAGCTGCTTGAAATCAGATTAACACAAATAGAAAATCGATTTTTATGAATGATGCATGGAATCAGATTATCATAATCGATGTATTAAAAAAGATTGAAATCAAAAAATATAAAACCGAAATTGAAATCAAAAGTAAAAAACTGGAATCGATTTATTATGAATCCATTTTTTTGTTGGCATTGGTAAAAATTTGAATTAATTTATAGAGTCCCTCGATCAATTGTGGTGAGAAGCTCAATGTGATGATTATTCCAGAAGAATTGTATGTTCCTAAGTGATATGTACTGTTGATTTTGTTTTGACTCAATTTTCTTTATTTTTTCTGTTCGTCTATATAAGTATATATGATATATTGGTTTTTCTTATATATTAATATAATATATATATAGGTCCCCTAGAAATTTGAAGCCATGAGCCATGGCCCATGTTGTCTCACCTATTGACACGAACGTAGGTGAGTAATCTTTGTAAGCATTGAACAGTGCAATGTAACACTTCCATCCTTCCCGATTCTTTGAGCACCAACATTTGAAATAGCGGCCATTCTTGGCATACACTTAAGACATACAAATTACCAAGTTCTAAACCCACGTGTTGGAATTTAATGGTGCAAATATTGTATGCTAAAATGAAGAATGAAATAATTTCTCATAACTTGTGTTTAAAAGCTATATAAATAAACAATAAAGATTTAAATATATACTGGAAGGAAATTTAGGTAAAACTTGAGACAATTCACTAAAGTATTTACTCTACTAAATGAAAAAACCGATTACAATTTGGATACATTACAAAGCTTGAAAACTACTCATATATTATAGCCCAACTTTGCTATTATTAAAATGCTAAGTGACTCTACACCTAAGCGGCTAAGCATAATATCATTATTTAAATACAAAACGTATACAAATCTCCGAAAAACATGAAGGGGTATTAAAGATTTTGACAATAAAGGTTGGGCATTATTTTACTCAGGAAAGCTATCAAGCTCTCTTATCCAACCCTTTCTATCTTGCTATCTATATTCAAAAGATCGTGACCAACTCTCCATTAAATCTATCCAACTATATCCTACCCAGCTATCCATCCGGTTTAAATATCATACCTTATAACCAACATTCATATTTTCTCAAAATAATTTGCAGTACTACAAATTCAACATGTTATCATTAGATACCGAGAATTAATTAAACTTCCCAAGTTGGGATGATAATATATTACATTTGTTTTGGTGGAAAAAATGTTTTTTTTTATTCTAAAAAAAAGTAACCCAAGTAAATATTACACAAACGGATAAGAAATATTCAAATTTATACGTTTTCAAAGCCGATGAAAATTCATTTTTTCCAAGCTAGAGAGGTTCATAAGAAATACAAGTTTAAATTAAAGTTGAGATAAAAGTGACAGTAACTCTCAAAATGAGATGGTTGGAATGGAAAAATGGAAGGAAGTTGACAGTGACTCTCCCATACAGTATCCGACAGCTAACATGAATCTAATAAAAGTAATTTAGTAAATTTAATTTTTTATCACATAACCCCAATTTGCAAGAGATGATTAGATTAGAAAGGGACATAATTTTCACTCATTTGATGGGATACAGTTCTAACAAAATACATCACACAAACAAATAATAAAAAGTCACAAAAGATGGCTAAACATATTTGATGATCCTAGTGCCATCTAAATATTTCCCTCTACAAAAAGAAATATATGATACAAAATTCAAAAAAGAAAAATTACAAGCAACTCGGATCAAAGAAAAGATCGACATCAAGACGATCTTGTCACTGTTATACTTCTTCTTCAACTACATACTTCGATAACTGCTACCAGTGTTTGTCTTTCACAAACAGATTAAACTACACTAAATTCAAAAGTTTTGGCATATTTCTCTCTTCCCACTATATCCATTAGGGAAGTTGTATGTACTTTGAATTGGTAGAGATTGGGATGGAGAAAAAAGGGATACAATTTAAGTTGAAAAGACTCTAAGAAGGGACGACAGTGCCCACATAACCAAATCCAACGATCAAGAAAGTCACCACTTGGAGGAAAATGTATACGAAATATCGATGATTTCCATACATAAAATCATAGCATCCAATGAAGAACAAGAACACTGCGAATCCCAATTCTGTAAGATGAATCCTGAATCACTCAAAACATCAAAGAATAAGTATTAAGATTATATAAGTACATGCACTTAATTTTGTAAGTTTTGGTATAATAAAACTCGTGAAAAGCATTAAAAAGCATCAACTTTACCTGGTACTAAGGTTAAATTTGAATGGTTTGGATATGGGATCGGGTTTGATTTGTTTAAGATTTGATTTTTTGTTCTTGACAGAATCTCCGAGCTTTTCAGTGACAACCCATTCGTTAGATCTCTTTGCATCAAGTAGACCAATGAAGGTTGCCTTAGTCCGATGCAATGACATCACGTTCTCAAAAAGAATCCAGTAGAATAATAAATGGATCGATCTAAAGAAAAATTACAAATTAAATTCACCTAGAACCATATATATAATAGTACAAAACTATATAAAAACCCTAATATATATAAGTGTTTTTGTACCTTGGTGTCCCCACCGAATTCAATGTGGTAATTATGCAAGGAATGTAGATGGCTCCCCATGTGGGGACTTTGACTTCCGGGACTAAAATGGTGACGGGGAGAACAATGCAAAAGAAGAAAAATGTGACCATGTGAGCGATGATTTTTCGCACGAAGAAAAAACTATAGATTACATACACCTTCTTCCATAATGTCACTTTCTGCAAAATAAAGAAAACATATATGATCATTAGACACCGTTTGGTATGCATACACAATATACCGGACAACACACAAAAGGTTGAATTGCATTTGACATGGGATTAGACTAAAGACATCCACAATGTATTGATTTATATAGAGTTTAATGGTTTGTCACATAATCATTTCATTTTTCATACAATTTTAACTTTTTTTCTCTTGGTATAATGAATTGAACTTTACAAAAGTTCAATGAAACATAATTTTAAAAGTAAACCATTTTTTTTAATCATTTATATTAAAAAAGTTTCTTTTAATTTGTTGAAAAATTTAATGATCATTGAACTTAATATTAATCGAATCGTAAAATGGTATCCTAAGTATGATAATATCAACTAGACATTCCACTCATCTAAGTGTTCCTTTAAACCTTATATCGTGGATGCTTTACGACTGACATATAATGTCAATAGTGACATGTAAATATATAATGTGAATAGGACAAAAATTACAATTTTTGTCCAACACAAAAAGTTCAAAGAAGGTGGATGTGGTCTAGCTATCAATCTCTCATATTTGCAAAAAATGTTAATGGCCTCATCATCCTTATCAAAAATAGCCATAAAAAACTTATTTTGTACATTTCATGTCCTATGTAACAAACACAACATTCCCTTCTTGCACTTCTTGCACGTACCTTGTTCCTAATGATCTCAAGCACCATTTTTCTGAACAAATTGGCTGGACCACAAGACCACCTATGTTGTTGGAAACGAAACGCTTTAAACGTACTAGGAAGTTCACTATTGACCTGTAACATTATTCAAAAAGTTAATATATCAACCAATATGGAACACTAAAATAGTAACAAGCTTTGATATAGATATCTGTTCAAATATAAAATTTGTTTATACGATGAACTTTAAAACTACCTGAAGGTCACCGAGATAGAGGAATTTCCACCCCTTGAGACCGGCTCGGACTGCAAGATCCATGTCCTCGACGGTGGTCCGATCCTTCCAACCACCAGCCTCGTTGATGGCGGCGATCCTCCACACACCGCCGGTACCTGTGGTAAATTACGATACTGCCCCTAGGTTAGTTTTGGAAAATATGATTGTTAGTTGAAGAATCATTTTAAACTAATTTGTTACCGTTAAAACCGAAAAAGGCATGAGTGGCTGATCCTACTTCTTGCTCCACTGTGAAATGGTAATCCAGTGACATTTCTTGCATTCTTGTCAATAAACATTCATCTGAATTTACTGCAAAACGTAATCGAAATATAATTAACACGTTAATAGCATCTTCAAATAAACGTGATTCTATAAAATGTTTGTTTTTATAAAACATATATATCTATGTAACAATGTAACTATATCCGATTTTAATTTACTAAACTAAGACAAGAAAGATTAGAGAAATCGTAAAAGTCCATACATTATAAATGACAAACCTACCCCTGTAAACAAATAAACTATTATGCAAGTATTACCTTAGGTGGTCCGTTAGCTAACGGGACATGTGCAGAGCATTTACGTCATTATACTTATTTCCGTTGGATCCTGTTTAATTCTCGATATTACTTTTCTTTTTACTATATATGAGACAATGTAGGACCGATTATTAAAGCATCTAAAAGAAGTATATACCCTTTTAATTATTCGTAAAGTACACACATCTATGCACACAGTACAAATCCTCCTTACCCTTCTTCGAAAAAGGAGCTAAAAAAAATTCTCAATAATTAACTGATTATAAGGTAACACAATGATGGAACAAAAAGTTAAACCTTTTTATCAACATAACTATTTATACGTCCGATTTTCTATTAATTTGTTACATTTTCATACATTATTATATGAAATAGATAAATTCAAATAATAATATAAATTAGTGTAAATTACCGAATCGCCACCGAGCTTGAACAAGGGCAATTTTAGGGTTGAACTCAAGGAACGGAATTGCTCGCCGGAGAAAATCCGGTTCCGGCCGGAAATCGGCGTCAAATATGGTGACGTATTTACAGTTCTTCACATAATCATGAGTTAATCCTTCTTTCAATGCACCAGCTTTATACCCTCCACGACTCTCTCTAATTTGGTACCAAATCTTTACTCCTTTGTTAGCCCATCGTCGACATTCTTTCTCAATCAAATCCTACAAATCAGAAGTCAGAAAATTTAAGCTCTGTGATTTCAATGGTGAAATCCGGTACAATTCTGTCATTATAAACTGTACTTGATGCTTTAATAGTTGTACATTGCAGAGAAAGTAAACTAGAAACGTTGAAATCGTGGAAGATGATAAGGTCTGAAATCTGAATTTGATGAACAGTCATGGAATTTTTGTTTATGTGCTTTAGATGGTTGTACTTATGCGGCGTTGGTGAGTTGTACCTTGATGTTGAGGTCGGTGGAATCATCGAGAACTTGAATCACAAGGCGGTCGGCCGGCCATGACAGGTTACATGCTGCACCGATTGAGATCTTGTATACCTGAAAAAGATTTAATCTTTTGAGTTTTTTAGAACATGAAAACGATGTAGGATTCAAGAACATGAATTGAACCTCTTTTTCGTTGAACATTGGGATTTGAATTAGAACCATCGGAAAAGATGAATTCCCACTCTCTGTATCTTCATGAATCGGTTGCCATTTGTATCGTTGTTCAGGTTTCTTCCAGAAGAGTTTTATGAGGATAATAACAACACCCATGTAAAGTCTCTCGATAAAAAGCATCAGAGTCATGGCTAAGCAAATATAGACTGCTAATTGCAGCAATGGGACTATCAATGGCGTCTTTATAAGGTCCCACTGTATCCCAAATTGCATTCGTAAGTCCGCCATTTTCTCTCCTTCTCAAAAAGTTGAACTGAAACAGGGGAATGAGATCTATCAAGATTGATGAAATGTGAAGGAAACTAAGCTGTGATCTTTGAGGAAAATGTTTATTTACACAAAATTGGATGATATTTGATTTTGTAAACAGTTATATGCTCAAATGCAGACTACTCTGTTTCCTTTCTTCTGTAATTGGCTAATGGCTATTGCGACATTGTTAAAGAGAGGGTAGAAAATGGTGAAAGTGGGAGTAGAGATTAGAGAAAGAGAAGAGCGGAGCAAGTGATGAACAGAGAGAATTGAGGGTATTTTTATAGTCAATTTACTGTTTTTTACTATGTGTTCTTTCTTTTTTGGTAACCTATATTTATCAAAGGAGGAATTCAAACTTGATAAATATATCCAAGTTTTTTTTTTTTTGTCATGGATTTCATATGGCTTAGGCCATATCTTTATTATTATTATTATTATTTTATTATAAATTACTATAAAGTAAACCGAAATAATAAACTAAAGGGCATTTAGCCTAATAATATCATAAATTGATGATGGATAGATGTATCTCTTTGCTAAAGCTTTAGGTTAAGAGTTTAAAATTTTGTGAACGAAATGTGTAGATTAGTTGATACGTGTGTAATCGTACTAAACAAATCGAATGGATAATAATATTTGTATAGGTATTCTTTTTAACCAAATATATGGTCTGAATCTAAATAAAATTTACATTATTTAAAAATAACCTTAGCTTAAACATATTAAAGAACAAAATCACAAATAACAATTTAAAGATTCGTTACTATAGATTAGTTATAATAAATTAGCAATTTTATTATGCTTATTAAATTTGATAAAAATTTCACAAAATTAAATAAATTTATTTCGAACATAATTCATACAAAACACTATCCATTTTGATCAAATTAATTCGTCACTTGAATATCCAATAAAAAATCAAGGCCTTAAAGTATCTACAAGTAAATCCAATTTTCGTTTCTACTCTAATACATGATTTTTTTTTGCCACATGTTATTTTATTATTTATTTGGTTACATTTCATTTTGTAGTTATTTTCAATTAATTTTTTTTCATATGACATTTTGTGGTTTTTTCTGTTTTATTAAATTCCACATAATATTTAAATGTAATAATAAATGCATATCAATTTCAATAATTGACTTTTCCTTCTAATTTCAATATTTATAAATTAAAAGTTCATTAGTTTCATTTGTTTATTTATCTAAATTATTTGTTTAAATTTAAAAAAGAAAAAAACACTTTATATTTAATATTTCAATATTTTTCTAATTTTTCTTATAAATTCAAACTTTTTCAAATATTTAGAATTTTCATATATTTTTTTTAAAATAAACTCATGTAATACATGAGTCTTATACCTAGTTACATAATATTTGAAGAACTATGAAACAATTACAAAAAAAAGGCGGTTAGTATATAATGAATGATCATATACTTGTTTTTTTTTACAAGAGAAATTAATTATCCTCCTACCTTTTATTTCTATTTATCTTCCTATCATATCAAATGTTGACATGTGCTATGTTTAATGACACTAATGAGATTGATAATATTTTAGTTCACTTGTTACCATTTAATATGACCAGGAGGATAGTAGGAATAAAATGTAGGGAGATATTTAATTTTTTAATATATAATATTAAATACAACCAAATTATAGTTTGTGAATTTTTCTTTGAAATAGATAATTTTAGGGAGAACTCGTTTAAAATAAAGAAGAGATCTATATTTCGTAGGAAATGTAATTTGTTTTATGAGAAGATAAAGGTAAGTTTAGAAAATAATTAGATAAAATCATTACTTAATGTTAAGAGTTTTTGTTTCTTAATTTAACTCGTTATAATATTTTGTTAGCATTATAAAAAAAAATCTTATAATGCTTTGGTTCATTAAACTTTGGAAAATTAATTTATTAAGGTAATTATTTTTTCGTCTTGTTCACATCTGAGTAACTTTTTTGTATACATATCTAGGTAACAAATATTTTAGGAGTGCTCACATATGACAATTATGATCGGCTGTATACATTCGATCATAATGGTCATATATGAACACCTTAATCAAGTTCGTTACCTAAATGTGTACAAACAAAAAGAAGTTACCTAAATATGAGCAAAACGAAAAGATAATTATCATAATAAGTCAATTTTTTATTTTTTTATTTTTTTTCTATTTTACCTTTTAATTTTGATTTGGTACAAAATTTAACCTAAATGATAAACATTTTAAAAACCACACCATTTTGATAAATATATTATTAAAATGCACTACTTTATTAAAAAAAACCTTTAGATTTGACAGAGAAGAAAACACATCGTCGTTTTATAGAATTTTATTGTTTAAGATATTAAATATAAAAATTAAAATTTACTAGAGACTAAAAGTACTAGAGATGGAGATCAATAACATGAAAAAGAATACCACCTTCAATGAACTTTTCTCCATGTGTTATAGGAATTTAAAATACGAAAAATAGAAGTAGCTTTTATCTACATCGATAACATTGTTCTTCTCTTATATATATATATATATATATATATATATATATATATATATATATATATATATATACAGAGAGAGAGAGAGAGAGAGAGAGAGAGAGAGAGAGAGAGAGACAAAACTGCACAAATGGTCACTGTGGTTTGTCAAAAATTGCCACTTTGGTCCAAAAAGGTTTGGACTAACACCAGAGGTCTAAAATTTTTATTTTTTTGCGAGTTTGGTCCAATTTACTATTAACTTTTTCATAATTACGATTTTGCCCTTACTTTTTTCTTTTTCATTTTTTTATTATTTAAAGATTTTTTCAGATTAAAGAAAAAAGAAAATTTTCCTTTTCTATTTAATTTATATAATTTTTATAACAGAAAAATAAAAAATAAAAAAGAAAATCTCTCTCTCTCTCTCTCTCTCTCTCTCTCTCGTTGGTTGAAAAGAGATTAACGGGAGGAACCCCAATCAAAGAAGCTCAAGAAAAAGATGCATCTTCTCAATTGGAAATTCACCATAATGCTCCTGCCCCAAATCCAACTTCATCTGTGAAATCCACCTTCAAGATCTGTACATCGATTGCATCGATTGTGTCAACTATGCCCGCCAGAAATCGCTCTTCTAGAATCCACCACGGTCGCCGTCGTCCTCTATCTCCTTTGCTCTGACGACGACTTCGCCTTTGAAAACCCTACATCGATGAACACGACAACAAAACCGACTCAGTTCGTCTCTCTTTATAAGTTATTCCTTCACCAGTCGCCACTTTCTCAGATCTACGTCCCTCCTAAACGACGATTTGAAGATCATAGCGGTGGTGGTTTCGAGTTGCTAGGGTTTGCAGCGTCTCGTTTCTTCTTCAGATCTCTAAGCAGACACATACACTCAAATGTGACTCAACAAAGGCAAAGAAGGTGAAGGCAGAGAAACCCTTTCTCTTTATGGGGGTCTGCCGACGACGACTTCCTCTCCCTTCTTCTCTGATGACAACCTTTGCAAAAACATTAGTGCAACCCTTTCTCTATTGTGGCGTTTGTGTGTGTGTTTAATGCTTTTCAGATATGTTGTGGTGTTTGTGTGTGTGTATGTGTTTAATCTCTCGTTAATCTTGTTTGAGTTTGTGTGTGTATTTAATATGTGTGTGTGTTTGTGTGGAGATGATGGTTTTCGAGTCTGAAATAGTGAGAAAGAGTGAGGGGGACAACCGGTCTCCGACGAATTCCTTTGTGGTTTTACTCCTCATCGAAGACGACTAACAAATCAGAAGGATCAAGCCGTATCAGCAGTCGTCCGTTGGGTGTTTGGCAGGTATCGATGAGCAGAAAGAAAGGAAAAATAAAGAGGATGAGGGCTGTGCCTTTTTCGGTGGCCTTCATCTCCTCTTTGGTCATCTACGGGGTTGTAGAGATCAAAGGGGATCACATAAATCGAAAGAGGGGTTTGGGGTTTGCTAATCGACAGTGAAGGGAAATTGCCTCCTCTTAGGTGACCGGAGACTCCATCTTCGATGACAGGTTTCACCCAGAGAGAGAGAGAGAGAGAGAGAGAGAGAGAGAGAGATTGAATTTTTATTTTCTATTTTTTATGTTATAAAAATTATATAAATTAAATAGAAAAGGAAAATTTCCTTTTTTCTTTTAATCTGAAAAAATCTTTAAATAATAAAAAAATGAAATAGAAAAAAAATAAGGGCAAAATCGTCATTATGAAAAAGTTAATAGTAAATTGGACCAAACTCGCAAAAAAAATGAAAAGTTTGGACCTCTGGTGCTAGTCCAAACATTTTTGGACCAAAGTGACAGTTTTTGACAAACCACAGGGACCATTTGTGCAGTTTTGTCATATATATATATATATATATATATATATATATATATATATATATATATATATATATATATTGTGACAACCCAGAGAACACGTCACCAACCGTGTGTGTGTGTGTGTGTGTGTATATATATATATATATATATATATATATATATATATATATATATATATATATATAGTGATAACCAAAAGAACACGTCACCAACCGCCGTTAATATTTAACGTTAAGACATAAAAATATATTAAGGACAACATTGTAACCATACGATATATTTTAATATTTTCGAAATTTTCGTCCTTAATTATATCAACCTTTAGGATAAAAAAATAAGTGCGTAAAAAGTCGCATCATTTTGAGAGCAAGTTAGCATATGTAGACTCCTTAAGCCACCATTATTCCAGAAATATAAATTTCGTAAGAATCTCACATAGTATGGATGAGATAAGACATTTATGGTAAATGAATATCTACCGTAATTAAAAAGTTACAACGACGAAAACTACAAGGAGATTGGTTGACTTTTAGAAAAAGTCACCAACTAGACAACCGTAGTACTACTTAAAGTAGAAATTATGAGGCAATGAACGCCTAAAACACGCGTCATATGAAAGAGTTATGATTTTTATAACATCATAATGGTAATAAAAACATGTCGAAAAACGAAATTCAAAACTAGACAAAACGACCAAAAGGAAAAAATGTAGAGAATAACGAGACTTACATGCACGGATATATAAGAGTCGTTGAGAACGGAGTTCGTATGCGAGAGGTACGGAAATTCAAATTTGATTTTTCACCGTCACGTGCACTCATTCGCAGTGCGCCGAACGCACCTGACACCCATACGTCGGGATACGGGATGACGTGGACGCTATTGCCTTTCTATGGTAAAGGCGCAACCCCCTCCCACTTACTAAACACTAAATGACCTAAGCATCTAACCTTAGACGAGGTGGCACATGTTTGGCTTG